TTGGGCCAGCAATGTTAGGGGTAGCTGCGTCCGTTTGCACGTAGCTTAAGCGCCCAGGGCCCAGTTGTTAGAAGGGCGATTAGCGTTAACCCAGGGTAAAATTTTAATGCAATTTTTCTTTTCTTTTGTTGAAAAACATTTTCTTCGATAATTTTCTCTATTCTTTTTAGAGCATTCAAACATCAGATTGCAGGCAAAAGGAAATTAACCTGCGAACAGCAGACGCATTTGCGGTCGTCGCTTCTGTCGCTATTTTTCGGAGGGAGAGAAGCGACGACCGGAAATGCGTCTGCTGTTCGCAGGCTAAAAGGAAATAGGCTGAATCTGCTCTTTAAGCTTTTATATCCTAAGGCACATTTTGCACTAACCCTTGGTTATCTTAACCCTCCTTTGAACAACCCGGCCCAGGCGTTTAAAAATGATTTCTGTTGATGGAAAGAGCGCTATTTTAAAAGAGGACATTTAAATGGGGAGGGTATTTTTCCTTCAACGAGTTGTGGGTCAAACATTAAAGAACACATATTGCTTGTAAAAGAAACCATCTAGATTGAAAGAAAGCAATAACTGGAGGTAACTTAATGGAGAACAACTGTTCAGCGTAGTAGTGTACTCAACGATTAAAACTAAAAACACACAAACGTGAGGACAGGAAAGGGTTTTGCTTGCGATATACCAACAAAGCTCTATGTTCATTCAAACATCGTGTGAGTCTGTTGTCACTGGCGATGTTCATACGCGTTTACCCGGGCTTTTGTCGTTCGTCTTCAGTTCTCATTGGTTCATTAGGGGACTTAATCAAGCTGGTTTTGGTTTGAGGTGGTTTTGTTTGTACGACAACGCATAGGAAATGCCGCTAACTTCTCAGTCTTTGGTCGTTGCATTTGTAGAGTGATGTTCGGTTCAAGTAGCTTGTACGTACTGCATCACCCAGAGGAACTTGTTAAGAAGAAAAAAGAGGGAGCTCAACTTGAGGAAGTCACCTATGACTTGGCCCAGGAGGAAATAGCAGCTAACTCTGGATTTGACATGGGTAAAAGCAGCGGTCAAACAAAAAGTACGTAATAAACAAATCGTGGTGGATTGAAATTGGGTGTGTACACTATCTGCTCGAATAATCGCCGCACCCTCTTCGCTACAATACTCCTTAGTTCAAAATCGTCGCAATACAGTCAACAGTCAACTCTCCTTAAGACGGACGCCTTTCGGACTGGCACTTAGTGTCCATCTTAGAGTGATCTCCCTCTCATATAGTTAGTCAAATAAAGGGATTAAAGAGGTAGGGACCAACTCTAGGTGTCCGTTTTACAGAGGTGTCCATTTTATAGAGAGTCAAATAAATAGAGTAAAGAAAGGTAGTGACCAACTCTAGGTGTCCGTTTCACAGCGGTGTCTGTTTTATAGAGAGTTGAATAAAAGGAGTAAAGAAATGTAGGGACCAACTCTGGGTATCCGTTGTACAGAGGTGTCCATCTTATATAAAATAAAGAAAGGGGGTAAAGAAATGTTGGGACCAATTCTAGGTGTCCGTTTTATACAATGGTGTCCGTCCTATATATCAAGTCAAAAAATGGGAGTTAAGAAATGTAGGGACCAACTCTAGGTGTCCGTTTCACACAGGTGTCTGTCTTATAGAGAGTCAAATAATTAAAGGGAGTAAAGAAAGGTAGTTACCAACTCTAGGTGTCCGTTTTACAGAGGTGTCTCTCTTATAGAGAGTCAAATAAAGGGAGTAAAGAAAGGTAGTTACCAACTCTAGGTGTCCGTTGTACGGAGGTGTCGGTCTTATAGAGAGTCAAATAAAGGGAGTAAAGAAATGTAGGGACCAACTCTACGTGTCCGTTTTACAGAGGTGTCCGTCTTATAGAGAGTCAAATAAAGGGAGTAAAGAAATGTAGGGACCAGTTCTAGGTGTCCGTTTTACAGAGGTGTCCTTCTTATATAAAGTCACATGAAGGGAGTAAAGAAATGTAGGGACCAACTCTAGGTGTCCGTTTCACAGAGGTGGCTGTCTTATAGAGAGTAAAGTAAAGGGATTAAAGAAAGGTACGGACCAACTGTAGGTGTCCGTTTAACAGAGGTGTCCATCTTATAGAGAGTCAAATAAAGGGAGTAAAGAAAGGTAGGGACCAACTCTGGGTGTCCGTTTTACAGAGGTGTCTGTCTTATGGGGTGTTTGTTAAGAGAGAGTTGACTGTATTACTTTTCCCTTACATTTATGCTAATTAGTCCTTTTTGTCCCGAGCGATAATTCTTAAGTGCACTTACATTATAAAGGCAAAAAATAACCAAATTTGTCTAAATTTTAAAGATCTGTGTATCGCTTGTTAATGTTTTGTTGTCGTTGTCATCGCCGTTGCTTGTTTGTTTTTTGTTTTTTGTACATTTAATTAGGAGGGGACTAGACCGTTTTTTAATCCTATTTTTTGGAACAACGCAAACTAATAGTGCGTTAAATCCTAGTACTGTGTAAATCACCAATAAGATAATTTTATTTAAGCGAATACCTGAAATAAGCGCGCGTAGAGTTGAAGATGCTTTACATGTAATACGGGCTGTAGCCCATGTTCAAAAAAAAAAAAAAAAAAAAAAAAACGATAAATGGTGAATAGCTTTTCTTTTCCACTGTCTGTAATTGTTGCGAGCGACTAATTAGACTTGCATTTTTTTTTTATTTCAATCATTGTATGTATATTTTGAAGTGGTATTTTTATTTACTTATTTATTTATTTATTTTCTTTTATTTTGAAGCTCCAATCCTGTCTAGCCACTGTACTAAATAGTTTTTCTTTTCTGCTATTCAAGATGAAATGCTTTTACAAGAAGACTTGGTACAAATGGTACCCATGATAAGTGAAACTAATGCCATGGCAGAAGAACTTGATAAAAAGGTATATTATAGTGACAAAAATTGTTATTTAACTGAGGAAGGAAATCAAAGACGCCTTTCATTTAAGATGCATCCTAGATAAATAAGACGTTAACTCTACCTTTTATGCGGGAATATAAGGATTGTCTCGCTTCTCACGCTAAGACATTTTACATTCTATTTGTACGGAAAAACTTCGCGTTTTATTCAAGATCAGACTCGTTCTATTTTTTCCTGGTAAAAATGACGTCAGCGCCATTTCGTTTTGGGAAAGGTGTTGTTGGTGTTGTCGGTGTTGTTTTGTGAAGGTTTAGCTTTTTTATTTTAACAATCCCATCTGTTTTAAAATTCTTTCTGATTAATTTTCAGGTGAAGTTTGAAATTTTATTGATATCACCGCAAGCTCGTGGATTAAAAGAAGGAAGAACTGAGGTACGCAGGAACATTGTTTTGTCAGTTTTGTTTTTTGCTTTTGTTGTAATTGGCTTCTTTTATGTCCGTGCTGATTCAGCTTAGATGATTCCATCAAAAAAAAAGCGAACTTAGTTTTCTAGGCTTCTATGTTAAGCAATTTGTAGGCGTTATCCTTACGTAACAAATACAACTTGAAAGAATTTAACTGAGTTGAAATCATGATATACGTTGCTCGGTAGGTGAAAGTCAAGATGAAAAGCTTGGAGGATGATGCAGAGTGGATTTGGGACCGAAACAAGTTCCTCAATCGGAAGTTTTTGATGCAGGAAATGTATCAAAACTACGTGGAGGGAGAGGACTGGGATCTACCACAGGTTTCTGGATCGCTTAGCCTTACTTCTACTATTCAAACACAGTAGTGATATCGTTGTCATCACTAAAATTTTTACATTTCGTCTGCTTTTGTTGAAGTTAGGCATTTGTTTTTCGTTGCTCCTGGCTTTTATTTGTGCCGTAAATGTTCGAATAAGCTCCTGCGAGCTTATTTAATTTTTTGAACCGACAAGGGTCAAAACCCGAAAACTAGAACATACAGTAAAAACCCGCAACAAAGAACCTGTATTTTCGTGCCAAGTTAGCCTAAACGGATTCTAACATAAATGGTAATCACGAATTTTAGCCTAACAGGTTCTTAAAAACCAGGTTGTTCGTCGGGGATTTTAACCGTATCGCAATATATGTACTTGTGAAGTGCATATTCTTAGCTTTTTTCCGGTTCTATCGATGTCCTCGAGCATTTTCGTCAGAGTATCTGCCTCTTTAACATCCGACCCTGTAACTTCTTTAAGTTGGCCATTCTGTAAACGTGTGTTTAACGGAAAAACCGTCAGGAATGCGTGACACTTGAACTTCAATAGCTGATATGGTGATACTCGGTAAAGAAATATCAACAAGTGTCAAACCTCTTTACCGAGCATCACCTTATCAGCTTTTCCCTAAATGTACTGTATACCGTATTTACGGTAAGCAAGACTGGATTTCCATCCGTGGGCATTTTCGAGAAATATTGCTTTAGTTTTTGAATGTAATCAAGCAGTTAAAAATAAACTCCGTATTTATTTATTTATTTGCTTTAAACAGGAGAGAGATCCATTCTGGGAGCCGGATGATGCAGAAGTGTTGATCGGTTCGGCCCATGTCTATCTCCAAAGCTTAGCATATAAGGTACGTTTGTTAGCCTTTATTTCAAAGTATTTGGACGCCCTTAAACTGCCACTTCACTAGTATTCATCTTGGGGGTCGTTGTTCTTTCAAGAGTTGCTAACTGGCCCGAGTTGAGCCTACCAGTGAAAGAAGCTCTTTACATCCGCTTTTCCTTGAGCTTTCGCAATGTTATCTCTTTCTATTAAGCCCTGGGACACATTTCGCGGCAGTTTAGAGACTTCTTAGCGGTGGTCGCGTCTTGATAAGGACATCTTTTTTTTATTATTTATTTACTTGTCTATTTATTTATTTATTTCAATTATTCGTACTTAATTTGTCTTCTTCTTCTTCTTTTCTTTTTTGTATATTGTTAATTCTTTTGCACAGATTGAAGTTGAGGAAAGCCTCTCGATAACAGACCACAAGGGGAATGAACAAGGTCATCTACAGGTAAATAAGAAGTTTTTGTCTTCTTTGTACTAGTTATTTAAGCAGGGTTTGTTTTGGAGGGCGACATTGCGTTACGACATCTAATTCTACAATAAATTTTGGTAACTTCCTCAAATGGTGCTTGTAAATTGCCTGGAATCAAGAATTCGATTGAAATCATAGGAAATATCATCAGTTACGTGAAACTAAGTGAAAAACCAGAAGAATAGGCCACTTCCGAGGTCCAAAAACCCTCACTTTCAAAATGAGGCTAGGTGCACAACCTTTCTTGTGAAAATGAGTCTTATTTGCATGAGAATGAAAAATGATTTCCATATCAAAGGCTGAGCACCTACCCTCGTTTTGAAACAGAGGCCCCGGGGGAACTCGGAAATGGCTTATTATCGTGTCTGCCAAGGTGCGACTTGGAGATAATTAAAAGTTTGGTAATCAAATGATGGGTAGTAAGGAGTAGGGGAAGTCATCACTAAACAACGGTTATACAGAGCTTATTACCAGAGTTTCCTTTCCGCAGATCGAAGCCTATCCTTGTGATGATAAAGGAAACGAGGACGGTGATGATTTTGTCGAAGACCCGAAAGAGTTGGTGTGTATTTATATAAATTATCGTATGAATACAGCTTTTTGAATGCATCTTGTATAGCTTACATTTTTAAACCCATTGACCTCCGTGGTTTTTAGCGATGAAAAAAAAGGCCCTTTGAAGCTTGTCGAGCCATTTTCTGTCTGGCTTTAAAGAACTAAAACTACCCCAAGCGCCGACAATAGGTCTATCATTTCGCCGCCTTCTATTCCGGATGCAATTTGTCAGCTTCCGAAATTCGGCCATGCGCAGAAAGCAACATTTCGAGAACCATTCTGCATTACATAGTAGACAAAATCCAAATTTAAATTGCTAAATATAAATTCCCTTTTACCATCTGGCTTGTTAAGGATTCCATGCAAGAACTGACTGACCTAATGAAAGAGTAAATCAATGAATTTCTCGCAACGTGGCTGACTGACTAACCAACCAACTGACTGACTAATTTGCATGGCTGGCTGGCTGGCTGACTGACTGACTGACTTAAACCGAGTGACTAATTGACTGACTGACTTAGCGAGTCAGATTGACGGACTGGCGAACTCACTCACTGAGAAATTAACTGACATACTGAGAGGTTTTGGTTGACTAAATTACTGACCAACTGACAGACAGACTGAATGACCGGCTGGCTGGCTGACCGACTTGCTACTGACTCGCGGACTTACACCGACCAACTACCCGGTAACTGCCTGACTGAATTAATGGAACTTAGTTGGCGCGATCCATTCAACCAAAATTCCAACCGGTCCGACCGGGAAAAGTGGTCCACCTCAAAAGGTGGACCCGTTTTTTCGAAACTTTTCCGGTTGGACCGAACCGATCGATTGAGTTTTGGACCGAAATTTCCGGAAATTTCGGTTGAATGGATCGCGCCCAGTGTCTGTGTCGCTCACTATCGTATTAATTTTTTGCATTCATTTCTTAGATTGGACAATCACTTTTTTTCAAACTAAAAATTCCACATGCAAGAGGATTACCAGCAAGATTCGGAAAGGTATTTGTTTGTTTTTGTTGTTGTTTTGATTAGTTTTATATTGTTTTATTTTAATTTATCTTAAGGAAGTCAGAAAACGTTTTAAGGATCTTGACCTCTGTCTTTTAAAGTTAAAAAAGGAAAAAACGCATTCGCAAGTTGTACTTTCTGTAGCTGCAAAGTGTTTTTATGTGTAATACGTAACTGTGTGGAGACTTTGTAGCAATTTCTGTTCATGTTCACACCATAGCGGATAGCATTTCGTGCTATCCGGCATATTAAGAACGCTTATACCATATGTGAATCTCCAGTTAGGAGATCGGCGCGGCGCAACTTTGCTCCTTTACAGATATCGCAGCGAAATCACCACTCTTGTGTGTGAACAAAAGCTCTATCCGGTATAGTTTTCGTGCGTATAGTGTGAACCGGGCGGGGGGAAGAGACGAGGTCTGGGACCAAGAAACGATGTTCTCCTCACAACTTGCAAAGCGGTCACCTTGCCTGTTGGTAAGCGGATAATTGCAGTAATTTACCCATAATTGCCAACAAGCAGCCTCGCGAAGATGCGAGGCGGCAGCCTAATAGAGCTGTGCGCGATTGTTCCGGGGGTAGAAAAAATCTCGAAACGATGTAACATAGAGTAATGTAAGGCAACTGTGACGTAATGCAGGACAGAGAATGCATTGTTTTCGAGCGAACACGTGATGCAGATCAGAGATATCCACGAGCCGTGTGCGTTTTTGTGACTCAATCGTCGGGTGGATCATTTCCATCCTACGCGATATCTGTCGCATTTGCCCACCGGAATTTTTTATTGCATGCTGCTCAGAGCAATAATAACGCAGCGAAATTTTGTGCGTCTTTGATGCAGAATACATTAGCTGCGGTCACATCTGGGCTACTAACTATAGTTAAGACGGGGTTAACTTTTGTTAGCTATTTCGGCAACGTGACCGTTTCTCTGTTCGCCTTAACCATAATTAGAACATTTACGCCTCGGTGATCCAAAACAATACAGACTAATTATAGTTATATATACCCAAGCAGGGTTCGTGGGTTAGTCTTAAGTTTACAAACAAACAACCAATGCAAAATAAAAACCAAGCGAACAAAAATTTACATAGGCTAATTAGAACTAACTGTTATTAATTGCGTGGTGTGACCGCAATGACGATCGAAAGCACTAACTACCGTTAGGTATGACGTCACGTAACTTGACACTAACTTAAGTTAAACTTTAGTTACGTATACGTTGTAGATGTGACCGCAGCCACTAATTCGGAAGGTTTCATTGGCGCATCATAATTTTTTAGCTTTAAAAGGAGACCAAATATAAGTCTGCGCGTTGAATATTCGCGGACTTTAACATGATTTTTTGAGGATTTTAAGTTTACTTATAAGACCACTAAACTTTACCCAAAATGACTTGTGCGCAACTTCAGACAAAAACACGAACTTCAATATCTCGAAAAATTCGCTGCGTAAAGTCGGGATTTCAAATTCTCTTTGCAGTAGAACAGTGTAGTTCACTATTTTCAAACAACAAATTAAAGTAAGGGGCACACATACACCAATCCCATGATCCGACTTGCCCGCGCATGTCGTGGGAGAACTGCCGTGCGGTTCCCAGCCAACAGCTCTCACATGTGTTGTGTGGAGCTGGCAGGTAAAGGACTCGCCACGGCAGGATCAGTTTCTTTTATATACGGTTTTTGCCCTGTCACTGACCGACGGCTATGCCAGGCTGACGATCCCCAGTAAGGGCGAAACAGCTGTTCATGTGCCACTGCCCGCGTGATATGTCTGTGCGCATGTGTGAGGTAATGATCAGGCCGTGGGTTGGTGTATGTGTGTCCCTTGCTTTAATCTGTAGCTGTCACTGCCCGCGTGATATGGCTGTGCGCATGCGTGAGATAATGGCCCGGCCGTGGGTTGGTGTATGTGTGCCCCTTGCTTTAAGTTTGCACTATTTCAATGCAGTCGAATTAAGCTAGATCTATTTTTCATCAATTACATTATTTCATGACATTTCTAAACAAATTCGACAGTGCGCGCGTATTTGTGAAATATTTTCGTCTGCTGGCACTTAGCGATAGCTGTAACTAGTAAATATTTTAGAAGCGAGAAGCGAACACGCAGAGGAAATAATTCAGTTCAGGTATGTTCGCTCGTATTTATAAAGCTCTCTTGAATAGACTTTACTTCCGACAAATTTGACATTTCCCCCAGTAATTTTTATCAGCATCATAACTTCTATAATCTTCTGATGTCCTCGTGCGGCAAAACGATGTTAACCTATAAACTCGATCAATAGTCCAGCGCGCGTCGTTGTCGATTTAAGAGCGCGATTTACACAGTTGTAGTGACTGTCGCTTGCATTTTGCAATTTCAGTACCAAGGGACAAATATGATATGCGAAAAAAGCAAAGAGGCATGTGTGATAACTCTTCATTCCGTTTATTACGCTCAGTCAACACCTTGAATTCAAAGTTAAAAGTCAATACGATGCCAGTAAACAAATGACAACTATTTCTGAAAGCTCTCTACCTTGAAGCGACGTTCATTATCCTTATGTTTGCAGCAAAACACTACTCGATAGCTCAACTCTTCAGCGGTTCTTGGGAGCCCTAGGTTGCATATTCTAAACTCTGCTAAAGACAATTGATTTAAAGAAAGAGCAAACCACACACTGTGCCTGAAAAGCGACATAAAATTAATAAATTGGCGAGTTACCAAAAGATGATAGTGAGAAACAGTCCCGCATTCGACCGCCATGGTTTTGTTGCTTCTCAAAAACTGTTGACCTTTTTATTATTATTATTATTATTATTTTAAATTAATGTCCATGATCAGCACAGAAATCCGCTGACAAGACCCTTGATCGCTCTGCAAGTTGTGAGAGCGTCGTCTGGATTGATTTCATTTAAGAGAATACATGGGAAGTAGTCATACAGGGGAGAAACCAAAAGTGCGCGCGCAAGTGAATATTCTAAAGCCTCTTTTTCTGTATGTTAACGTGAAAATGCTTTGCTTTGATGTTAGGGAGAGACACACTGTAAATTCAAGCTGTACCTTGATCACGAATATTCAGTAACAGGCCGTGTCTCAGGCACTATAAATCCGTCTTATGCGTATGAAAAGAAGTATTCCTTTAACCCCGTTACTAAACAGGTTTGTAAGACATGTTTGTCTAGTTTCCTTCAGTTTGATATTTGACCTTGAAATTTTCGTTAATTCACCAAGAAGGTTATTTAATTGTTCGGTTACTTACTTATTTGTTTATTTATTGTATTTACGTATTTATTTTTTTATTTTATTTTATTTATTTATTTAGAGATAGCAACAAAGTCACACTACAAGGCTGTAGTTCAGGGCCCAGTTGTTCGAAGACCGATAAGCACTTACCCCAGGGTTAAATTTACCCCGAATTTCTTTTTCTTTCGCTCAAAAGAATTTTCTCTGTTATTTTTAAGAGCATCCAATCATCAACTTGTTGACAAAAAGAATTAAACTGAATTTACTTTTTAAGCTTTCATATCTGTATTCAAATTTCGCACTAACCCTTAGTTATCTTAACCCAGCTTTGCACGAACCGGCCCAGAAATACAACAACCTCTGTCGGTCATGTTGATTTCGGGTTACACTGAATCCAATTCCGTGTCGTCATCCTTTTCAAAACCCTCCGTTTTTATCCTTCCACGCGAGTACAGCAAAACGCTGGAGAGGATTATTTTTTTTGTTTTGTTTTGTAAGGATACGTTTGTGGTGACTGTTTTTACCGGATACGTGTGGACAGCAGGCTAAACCGGAGAAAAAGATCTTCAAACATATAAACGGATACGAGTGGACGAGACCTAAATTTTCTATATTAACGTACACCCCTCGACAACGGCCACTTTATTTTGTCCCGGCAAACAGTCCATACATTGACCCCTATTTAAACTTCTCTACAACGGCCAACTCTCTACAACCGACAACGGCTACTAATGCGTGTCCCCAACTGCCAAAATAACTTCTCCACAACGGCCAGTTTGTTTTAAACGACTGATGAAAAAGTCAAGAATGGTCACGAATTTATCCATATGGCACGTTTGTTATCAATCGCGGTAATCGCATTTGGATTCGTTTCATTTAGACTGCTGCAGTAAGCATAAATTGCCCACGGTACTTATAGCGAATTTGCGAACCTTGCTCATTCGGTCACGTTAACATTTGATTCAAGACATAATTGAAGCTTTTTGTGTATTTTATCTTCTTATACATTACGTATGATTGGATTGCCGTGATTATGGGACACATTAAGAATGAACTTAGCACAAAAAAAAAACATGTTGTACTCCCTAAAAAAGTATTGCTCATGTAACACCCCTTCCTCCCCATAACGGCCATATCTCCACAATGGCCACTTTCTTCTGTCCTCAAGGTGGCCTTTGTGGAGAGGTTCGACTGTAAAAAAGCACGCAATAAGTAATTAGTGAGGCTCAATTAGTAAGGCACCTTGCCTGAGCTATAAGACATGAGACTTTAATAAAGTTCATCATCATCATCATCATCATCATGATTATGATTATTATTATTATTATCTCTATTATCGCAGTCTTTGTTGGTGTTCTTTTTGTGCATCAGCCGGGCGCAAACCTTGCACCTAGAGCGTCAGTCACTCAAGTCAGTCATTCTGTTCATACACTGAGCACCTTTCTGAGGATTCGTGCAGATCCCAGCATGCAGATCTTTTGAATCTCTGTCATAGTAGCTCTCTCTGATACTTTCTTGATGCTTTCTACCATACCCTTCTTTACTTTACCAAGCGCTATTATTATTATTATTATTATTATTATTATTATTATTATTAGAGGTTCGACTGTAAAGCACACAAAAATTGTCGTGTCATTTTTGTTTGTTTGTTTTTCATTGACAGTTCGTGGACTATTTACTGCACACACCACTTGTTGTTGAGGTATGGGGGAAGCAAAGCGGAAGAAAAATTAGCCGTAAAGAGACAGGAGGCGGCAAGAATAATCCGGTTCCTTTGCAAAGAACTTCTGAGGGACATGAAGTGCAGAACAGCATGTCAAATGGCAGTATTATGGTAAAAGACAACAACGTGTTGGTGACCTTTTAGTGTGAATATAACCTTTTCTGTTTTTTTTTTTCTTTCCTGTTTACGCTATTGGAACATTAACACTTATATGAGCAAAAAGAGTCCCCCTTCCCCCCAAACAATTTTTTTTTTTAATCCTACAAAACACAATGAAGAGTCCCTTGCAAAAGGTCTGCAAAAAAGGTTTCATTTGAATAACACAACCATAGAATTTCGTCCACAGACTCAATAGTTAGAACTACACGCTAAATAAATAGTACCATGTGAAAGTACTGCTGAAGAGGTTTCATTTGGATTGTCACACCATAAGATTTCAACCACAGACTCAAAAGTTAGAGCCACGTACTAAATAAATAGTTCCATGGGAAAGTATTGCTGAAGAGGTTTCATTTGAATGGTCACACGATAGGATTTTATCCACAGACTCAAAAGTTAGACTTACATACTAAATAAATATTACCATGCATATGTTAACTTGCTGCCAAAGAATTTTCATTTAAATGATCCTGAGCACCAAAGTATTCCATCCACATCTTTTAAAGTTAAGCATGCGCAATAACTTGGTCCAGGAATTAAAGGTTTAAAAAAGAGAATTAACGAGAGCTTCCAAAATTTGGCTGGCGACGTCAGCTCAAATTGACAATCGCACATCTATCGCAACATGGTATTCTGTAATAGTGGTTTGAAATATAAACCTTCGTATGCAAACTGGAGCTTAAGCTATCTGTATTTGGACTAATTGGTAAAAGCGTTGACTTTTTCACTGAATGCCTGGGAGACAGTTTTAATCCTCGATTCTTCACACAGCAACACAAAGGAGCCGCCAGGTTGTAAATAACAAGCGTGTTTTTAACTTTATTAGCCTAGCTGTTCCAGGCGTTCGGATAGTGGAGTGTGACGCGAAGTACATCTCAGGCTATAACTATATTGATGTTGGTAACTTTGATATTTTAGTCAAAAGATGAAGCCCAGAACATGAAGCTTGAGCTTCACAAGTCACAGAAAAGAAGTGAAAGATTCGAAAAGAAGTTGGTGAGTTGTGAATGGACACCGATGAAAGTGATGTTTTTCTTTTTCGTGTGTGCCTTTTTAAGGTGGATTTCCACTGTCACGTCAGTTTTACAGGGGTACGCAAGTAAATTTTGCGCGCGAAATAAAATAGAGGCATGCATGGAAGATCGCGAGTAAACGCAAAATTTTACAGCGAAACTTCATATATTACCTCTGTTTTATTTACCCGTGTAAAAATTTTTTGCATGCGCATGGAGTAATTAGTCGAGATTGGAAATCGGCCACCTTTAGAGTCCTTGAACCATTTTTCTTATGATATTTTTCCGATTGTTGTAAAAGGATCTATTAATTGCGTGAAATGGATTTAACGAAAGTGTTGTTGGAGAATCTGGCCGTGAATGATTGATGTTCTGTATTTGTTTTTCAAACACATGTAGAGTGAACAAGAAAGAAAAATAGTATTGCAAAGAATTTCTAGCCAAAGAATACCATGACAGTGTGGTTCATTTTCAGTTTTACTCTGATTTACATACAAAATGGTTTTTTCAAATCCAGAAAAAGATGCGAGGGTTAGTAGAGGACGCTAAAAACAAGGGTATCTCCACGATACAGGTAAGAAGCCAAAGGATATGTAAAAAGTACATCTATAAATATATCTGTGTCTAGTAATTTGCAATTATCTTGTAAAGTGAACTCGAATAATATTTTACTATATAACAAAGAAGAAAAAGCTACTCACTTCGTGCCGTTTCTTTCAATGAAAATTTCGTAATCAAAGTACGTTAATTTGCCGATTTCCTGATTTTCCCAACCTGTAAACAGATAGATGCAATTGAAGATATCTTAAATGGGGGTGAAGGCGACAAGTTCAAGGCAACCGCTGACATCGTTCTTCACACGCAGAAGTCTGTTGACAAGGATGGCAAGATCAGCAGTGCCGCCTGCTCCGTACAGTGACGAAATGTAAAGTTATTTACCGTTATTACGTGACGTTTGACGAATAGTCCCAAACAGGGAACCAGGATTCCATCTAAATAAAATGTCTTCCACAGCAAAATAAACGGCAAATCCCGAGAGGGCTGAATGGTAAATCAATTAGGCACATGAGAAGTTTCCTTTGAAAAAAGATTTTCGCAATGTTAAGTAGTGCTTGTGCGTGAACCAGCGTCATTTTGGCGGGAAAACGTCATAGCTGTGGTCATTCTACTATGAGTTTTAGGGAGAATGTCGTAGTGACGGAAACAAGTTATCAAATGTTAGAAGAGGGAGAGGGCTTAACATCCTTCAATGTAGATAGGAGTGCTACTGTTTCTGTTGAAAAAAAGTATAATGAATCTTTCCAGGATGTCTATTTTTTAAGAATACGCGAAAGAAATTTTTGATCAACTCTCGTTCTCATAGCCGTTCACGTCCTCGAATCTAAAGTTCTCACCAAAACAGGCACAACATTCGGTTAATACTGTACACAATTTCAGTTCCTGGGACTCTTTTCTACCTATCTCGAATATGTTGTTTCTAACAAACATTTATAATCCTCTTAGTACTTTGAACAGTGAACCGGGGAACGTCGTTGTGTCTTCTTTAGCCCCCAGCTGTAAACGATAAGTGTGAGCTACCGAAGCTGTACAAGACATTAGTAGCGTTTGGTTTGAAATAATAATTAGCCTCGAGTGGGGCATCCCCATCTATGTATAATTAACTATTTATAATTCAATTATGTCATAGGCCACTCACTCGTGTAGTTGTTTATACTTTTTGGCTTTTTGAAATTGAAAGAGGTATTTTTATATTTATTATGTTAACATATTTATTATGTTCCTTTTCTCAAAGAGAAGTAATAATACAGCGTTATGCTTCAACGGCGTTCTTTTAGTTGGGTGTGGTGTTTATTTGAGGACGTAGTTTATTGGTGATGGTCTTACATCTACGTCGCGGGCGGCGTTTATTCAAAGGCGGCGTTTAATCAAGTAAATAAACTATATGTTGTAGTCATTTTATTATTATTTTTTTTTATCTCAGGTAATTTTTCTTTTTCTTTCGTTTCAACTTCATCAGCATACATTACCATACCCAAAAACAAAAGAACAACAGAAAATTACCTGAGATAAAAATTAACTACTACATATACAAATGAGGTGAAGCAAGAGTTACCCGATACCTACTTGGAATGCGCCGAGAACGGTGCACAGGCGACAGAACAGTGAGAGTTCAACGATGTGAATGCACGTATTTCTAATATCAATACTTGCTTTTCGCGGCATAAATTAGAGCATTATATTGTGAAGAAGGCCGTCGTTAAACCTAAATGTTCTTCTGTTTGTCAAGTTGAAGGGCTCATCGATCACCTTGTAAAGTGCACAGTGCAGCAAGATTAATAAATGAACAACATCGTAGGCAGTTGATTGCTATTAATACCATTTGCAATTTTTTTTCATTTTTTTTTTTCTTTTTTTTTGCGATTATAATTTAAAGCGTGAGAGTCGATTAATACTATGATATTGCGGTTTTTAATATTGTTAAAAGCACTTCCTTTCAAGGGCTGTACGATTGGCTAAAATTTTCACCGACCTAATCTGTGCACCCGCTTTGAAGCTGCTCTTTCCTTTCCTTGGACCCGGCCACACTTACCCTGCGAGTAGAGGTTTGTTTCTATGGAGTAGCATGGTTTTAAGCATTTTGAAAGTCGTTTTCATTGCTGACCATTGCGGCTAATGAGAATGGTTTCTATTTTATTATAACCATGTAACAAGCATTTACAAAATAACTGTCCTCAAGTAATGACCTCGTAGCCGGTACGGATTTTTTCTGCGCTTCCATTTAACGTTCAATCTTCAAAAGTGGGTCAGAGATGAGAAGGCATCAGCCCAGTTATAGTGCCCCTGTGATACCCCCGGCTCTCCCTGCCCCCAACTTTTCATACCACGATGTACCATACACCGTGGTATGAGTAGTTGGGGGCGGAAAGTTGAGGACCACGGTGGAGGTATGACTTTGCGTGTACTCCGAGGCTTAATCTAACAGATTCAATTTGAGGAACATTTAAATCTTCCGCTCAGTGTTCGGTTGCTAGGGCTTTTCCTCCCGTACCTCTCAAAACTGAGAGTTCTAGGCTATAGACAGAAGTAGCATGCATCGAATGTGACGAAACTTGGCAGGAAAGTAGGATGAGAAATTACCTGTTAATTGGTTTTTATTTCATCCCATGTGACGTCATAAATGATGTCCAGATTTGGCATCAGAAGAAAAATTAAGGAAAGAAATGGTAAAAACTGTGTATTAATTTTCTGTATAGAATTCTACGATTTCTGGCAAAAACCCCTTCTCGAAAACGTCACAATGACGTATTTCGTGACCAAAAATGCGTCATAGCACCACATACACTGAGTAAAAAAAACTACTATTTTGATTTTATGTAACTTTGTCCTTGCTCCCGTGCCAGTGCATCCATTTTTCTCGCGTTTAAAATACCCATAATTTTGACCATATATGGTCATTTGGCGGTAAATTTGATTTTCTTTGATTAGCTGTAACTTCACGCCATTTTATCCGATTTAGATGGGGTTTTCGCTATAAATGTTTTTTGTGTGTGTGTGTGTGTGTGTGTAGCAAAAATGTCTGTAACATTTTTTACACTGCTTTTCAAATTTTTAATGTTGTTACTGCAATTAGTTGTCTTTTATGACGTCATACTTTCAAGAAACGTCAAAAATACCTTTACAATGGTAAGAATTTAAAAAACATTTTTCTCTAATTAAGATGTTCTAATGTATTACTTCATTTGGAATATAAGCTACTACTCTGTGAGCCAAAAATTGAATTTAAGAAGTTGCAGGAGGAAACGCCCCAGAAACCGACCATCGTGCAGCTTTTTATTGGCAAGATTAAATTTCTTGCGCATTAGAGTCAGGGAATCCCAATGCTTTTGAAATTGCTCTGTAGGAATAAGTGAAAAGGGGCTCCAGCCCATCGCTATTGTGCTAAACATATATTTTAAACATTAATTTTTTGTCCTACGATGCTTTTGTTTGAATATATCCTGTCCATATTATCTAATTGTGTTATTGTGGTTCGAGAAAGGAACAATAGACAGGAATGAATTTTTTCAAGACAAGTGACAAACTAAAGTACACGAATTTGGCTCAACAACTCGTACTAGGATCTCCCAGAACTAGTACTCCTGGGAAAAGAAGCCCCTCCTCCCCCTTTTTTGTTTCTTTCCATGTCTTGAAATCTAACGAACTGTTATCATTATAACTTTTCCTCATTCATTGATTAATGGAAGGTCTTAACTGAGGTAAATGAAGAACACAACTCTTTAGAATGACTAAACAAATATGTTCAAATTTATTAAGCTTCTCTTGATGTTGTAGAAACTCAATATTACAAGCATTTGAACTTTAACTAAAACCTATAATGGCAGCCAGATTATCCATAAAATGTGCAATTCTTGTTTTGTATTTTTGATCAGCCGATACAGTCGGCACCTATCGCCTTCCTCCAGGAACACTCCCTCCGGGAGTTGGTTCGGTTCCCCCTGGGGCGGGTGATCCGGTGCCACCTGGAGTGGCTGGTGTTCCAACTGGGGTTGTAGGCTGAGTAGGTTGGGGAGGAGGTGGCTGTGGCGGTCGAGGCCTTACTATTACCTTGACGCGTCCCCTTATTCCGCCTCGTCCACGTCTACCACGTCTGCCACGCCTGCCACGTCTACCACGCCTGCCACGCCTGCCTTTTCTTCCTTTTCTTCCTTTTCTTCCTTTTCTGCCACGTCTTCCCCGTCTGCCTCGTCTGCCTTTTCGGCCACGCCTGCCACGCCTTCCTCGTCTACCTTTTCTACCACGTCTTCCTCGCCTGCCACGTCTTCTCCGTTTACTTGGTTTCCCTCTTCTGCCACGCCTGCTTCGCCTGCCTCGTCTAATCTTTCGTCCTTTTCTACCACGTCGCCTAGGGTCCTCAACTTCCTTCGTATTCAGTCGTATCGCTGCAAAGAGATGTGCACATAACAGTCATTTTCGGTGTTCGGTGTTTTCACTTTAAATATATCACGATCAACAAATTGGATTCCTATATGCCTAGTCCACCTCCAGTTGACACATTGCAAAGTTCGCTTGATGTCAAAGTAAACAAGTCATTTCCATTTCTAGTAGACTACGAGAGGAGAATATGTTGAAGTTTGGATGATTTGAAGCAGCAGATGATAATATCACCTTTGTAACAAACTTTTAGTTTTTTTTTTTTCGACCAGAAAGAAGAAGCTCTTGGTTTCGAGATATTTATTGGAAAATCTTACTATTACCAAGTAGTTCGATATCTTGGTCTCGTCGTCCACTTGTATTGTTTTTTGTTTCTTATTGTTTTGTTTTCTTCTTTTCCTTTCGATCCATAACTAGCAGGTCAGTTTAAGTCAATCAGAAATAGAGAACTCTACCGAATAATTAATTATGAGCGTATACTCCTTTTGAAGAAGAAAAACCCGCTATTAACAGATCCAAATCTGTTATTAACTATTGGAGTGTTATTGAATTTTTAACCATTCTTAACTATAATCACGTCGCGTACCTTTTCGCTCATCATTTGCCGTCTTCAGTGCTGTCTCGTCAGAAAAATCATTCTCATCCTCGTTGATATAACTCAGTTCTTTGGGCATGTCACCGTCCTCTTCATCCTCAATTGCGTCATCTTCTTCATCCATGAAATCGTCTTCTTCATCCTCCTCTTCATCGTTTTCTCCATCTGCCTGTTTATCGTCAACACCATTATCACCGTCATCTTCGTCTTCATCATCATAATCTTCATCTTCATTGTCAGTCCATCCGTCGTTTGTGTCTTCGCTATCATCAGCATCTTCATTTTCTTCATCGACATTTTCTTCGTCGTCATCATCTACAACTTCACCTTCATTTTCTTCATCAAAGTCATCAACGTCTCCTGCGCCATCATCCTCATCTTCCTCATCAAAGTCATCAACGTCGCTACCATCTGCAACTTCATCTTCGTCTTCTTCATCAAAGTCTTCAACGTCTTCTTTGCCTCCGTCTTCTTCGTCCTCGTCAGTATTTTGTTCTTTCGCCAAGTTGTCACTTTCGCCAACTAAAGCACCATTTCCAAGAGCTTTAGTTTTCTCAGCACGAACATCTTTCAGCTTTAGCGCTGTATTTTTAGGGAGTACAGCACAACTGCAGATATCAAAGAGGAGCACAGCAAACAGAACAGCGAAAACGACAGAAAACCACCGCGTCTTCATCGTGTTCTGACGCTCTCGGTTACCCGAAAGCTTTTGAATGTTTGATTGCCATAAATCTCGTATTTAAACAATTTAGACATCAATATTGAAGTCTTAAAGAGTTTGACAAAAACAAATATTGTTGATATTAAGATCATGTGCTTTCGTGAACGTGAAGAGCCTTTTTCTAAATTTGTACCTTTCCTTTTTGGTTCCAGCAAGATGGGTCCAAAATATCATTTCTTAACATAATAAGTTCTAATTTTATACTTTCTATATATACACCTCTGAAGAAAAAAGACTAGCCCAAAACAACAGATTTGCTCTTTCCAGCCTTAATCATTTTTATGTATCAGAATTTATTATTCAAAGCAATAGTTTATACCAGGTTAATAAATAAAGATCACATGAAATATTTACATTAAGCCCCTTTCAGGTTTATGGGTATCGTCAATCCTCATGTATTGCTTGATTGTATCATTGGTTTCTCCAGTCTGAAAGCACCCATATTAAATGTAGTTCATGCTTACATGTACGACACTTTTGATTACTATAGCTTTAACTACGGTGATAAGTGATCTGGCACAGCTTACTTAAAATGTATACGCCAAACATCAGTGAAAGGCTTAATGAATCATGGACCGGATCTTATTTTCGTCTCAAAACATGAAAATGAAGCAATTCAAAGGAGAAATCTTAACCTAGATAATTTTCGTTAATAAGGTCCCAAGATTATCAGAGACCAGCCCCTTTTGCGGATCAGTTGCAATGTTAATGGTTGCTTTTAAAAGCACCTTTGAGAATCAGAATATCTGTGTTTTCCACCCCAAGTGGCATTTTCACTGCGCGAAGGATAAATAATAAGAGGCATTGCTCATTATATTATACAAATTAGTTCAAAGTTTAGCAAAGCCCACGCAAAATAAAAATAAATGACATGTGCATTCTAAAGATATTGAGAAAAAAATGCAGCCCTTGAAGAACTTGACAGTACATGAAATCTGGAGATAAGTAAATAAACCAATACTTGATTTCCTACTCTAATTTTTGGTTTGGTTCTTGATGTCTTAAAGCGTTAAATTATATCTGGGCAGACTTCTTAAGTCTGTAGCATTAACCCTTCCATGTGACCTGTTAAGTAATAGCCATCGACCCTGGTAGAAAATGCGTCAGTAA